TGAAAGTGTAAAGCATTTTTCTTATAGTAAAAAAGGCAAAACTAACAGATAACACAAATACAAATATCAAGTTTTCAGTAGTATACATTTTTCATGTCTTTTCGTAAGGACAGTCACACACATAAACTTTCAGATGGCTGATGTGGATAGAGAGAACGTCTTAAGCGCTATAACAAGACAGCTTCAATCAGATGGTTATTTCTTGTAGCTTTTCAGATTGTGTACTTGCCCCTCAATTTCCTAGCAAACTCCACCATGAGAGAAGGTTCCTAAAATAAGCAAGATGTGCTTGGTATTAAAACAGAGAAATAAAGACCCGAAGAGAAAAGCTGGCCTGAGAGAGAGGATGGGCAGCTTTTGAGTGTAACGTGCGTAAAATTGTGTGTCTCAGAAGAAAGACAATTCACCAGCAGGACGCATAGTAAAGATTCTGTGCTTGAAAGTGCCCTCAGCAGGCGCTTCATTGTGGGACGGATTCTCCCCGGCAGAAGGCATCCCTGTCCTCTGAGTGGGGGCAGCTCTCCCTGAAGAAGCCACGGTTTTAATCCCCAATCGGGTCAGAAGGAGAGAAGAGAGAGAAGCAGGAAGATGAAAACCAAAGTGTGACCTTGGTAAATGTGGAGGTTTAACCTCCTGAATATGTGGGTCATCTCCTGGGGAGGATACGGCTGCTGGGGAGGAATTCAGACCTCAGACGGTAACACAAGGGCTGTGAAAGTCACCCCTGGAATGAACTCAGCTGTGACAGGAGCAGAGAGAAGGATTGATGCATCTGTCCCCAATTTTGTTAGGGAAGGCATGTCCGTGAGCTCATGCAAGAAAAACAGCGCAGGGATGAAAAGTCACGACTTAGAAAAGATTAAACATGACTCGGGTGATTCTGAAGAACGAGGGCAAGAGGCCCAAGGAAGACAGCTACACTCAACAGTTTACAGTCACAGCTTCTTATTCTCCTTCCTATCAGCAACGTTAAAGCCACATCCTGGGCGGTGCCTGTGGCTCAAAGGAGTAGGGTGCCAGCCCCATATACGGGAGGTGGGGGGTTCAAAGTCAGCCCTGGCCCAAAACTGCAAAAATATTAATAAAAAAAACCCCACATCATTTGGCTGATTCAGGCTACGTTTCTCCTATTATTGTCATTATTCAATGAAATACCTACTTACTAATTCCCAAAATTCTGTTGACAGTTATTGTAAACTCCTGAAGTTCTCTTCTGTAACAAATAAACTTTATTAAATATTTGTCTCTGTCACCTCTAACAGGCACCATTATTATGTCTTCTAACATAACTTTTTTTTATTTTTTTATTTTTTTATTTTTTTTTGTTTTTTTGAGACAGAGCCTCAAGCTGTCCCCCTGGGTAGAGTGCCGTGGCATTACAGCTCACAGCAACCTCCAACTCCTGGGCTCAAGCGAGTCTCCTGCCTCCGCCTCCCAAGTAGCTGGGACCACAGGCGCCCGCCACAACGCCCGGCTATTTTTTTTTGGTTGCAGCCATCATTGTTGTTTGGCGGGTCCAGGCTGGGGATTCGAACCTGCCACCTTAGGTGTACGTGGCTGGCGCCTTAGCCGGTTTAGCTATAGGCGCCGAGCCCATAACTTTTTTTTACGTAATTTTTATTTTTCTATATTTTCCCACGAAAAAGCCTTATCTTGAAAATCAATATTGCCAGGGAACCTGCATAGGCAAAGAGTATGTTTAAAGAAAGAAAATGTCAAAAATAATATTTCTTCCACCTGATCCACACGAAGAAATAACATACTCACAAATTCTAAATTCATTGCTTCTAAATTAAAGTTTATGGTCTTACATCCAAAATGATAATGGATTGCACAGAATTGCAGGACAAATAGAACCGGACATGATTTGTTAATTCAGTTGTGTAATGAGAACATTTTCAAGGATTACTATTAAATTCTAATCTGAAGTGTGTCTACAATTAGTGCAATAAGGGTCTTTTACCATGGACCATGAAGGTTGGATTAAGGACACAAGTATTGTATTAGCTTTCTCTAGTACAGGTAATTAGAAATAACTTCTTAATGAATAAGAAATAGTCTCTTCTAAATTGTAGATAGTATTTTTATGGCACAAACTGGTTATCCATAAAGCCTCATGAAGTGTTTGGGAAAAAAAAAAAAAAGGAAGACCAATTTCTTAAAAATAAATAAAGAAAAAGGGCCTAGAACCTTGAAGCACTCACTTACACCACTCACATTACTAGACTAACATTGGGCAAGATAAATAACTCATGAAAATATAAATGGTAAAAATTAAGGGAACAAATAGAATTGGACCCTCAACAACTAATAGAGGTGACTTGGCATTGGCTCCGCCGTTGCCAGCTCGGCTACATTTGATATCGGACATTTACTTAACCTGAGCACCAATTTCCTCTTCCATAAAGTGGTCAGGAAAGATCTTGTGAAGGTTAATAAAATAATGTATGTAAATATTTTGTCCATGTAGTGACCAGTCTGTAGTAAGCGTCCATTAACGATAGTTATTGTTGGATGCGAACCTCTTTGGCCCTGCAAGAATCATGTATTTTAGGCCTAAGGGAAAAAATAGCTTAGTTTTGACATAAATGAGGATTTAGTAATAGATGAAGAAAGATCTACCCAATGTGATTCAGAAAATTTTAATAGTTTAAAGGACTCAGCTTTTTTTTTTTTTTTTTGTTGTTTTTGGCCGGGGCTGGGTTTGAACCCACCACCTCTGGTATATGGAGCTGGCGTCCTACTCCTTGAGCCACAGGCACCTCCCAGACTCAGCTTTTTGTTATGTAATTACACAACATTCTAAACCCATGTTCCCTGACCTCTGCTTGTCTTGAATATAGTTACAAATGGGAACATCTCAATTTATATAATCATTTTTCCTTTCTTTTCCTTTTTTTTTTTTTTTTTTTTTAAGAAACAGGGTCTCAGTCTGTTGCCCAGGCTGCCAGGCAGGAATGTAGTGTAGTGATCACAGCTCACTGTAGCCTTGAATTCCTGGGCTCAAGTGGTCTTAACTTCTCAGCACCCAGAGAAATCAAGAGTAGAGGCGTGCACCACCAGCTAATTAAAAAAAAAGCGTTCTCAATATGCTTGCTACCCAGGCTGGTTTTGAAGTCCTGGCCTCTAGTGATCCTCCTGCCTCAGCCTCTCAAAGTACTAGGATTAGATGTGTAAGCTACTGTAACCAGCCTCTAATTCTTATTTAATGAAATTATCAGATAGCTATTTTAATATAATGCAGACATATTTCTGAGGCTATCAGTATATTTTCAGAACCGTCAGAAACCTTTAAATATCAGATATTAAGGAACTGAACTGTCCATCTCTGAAAATATGAGAGAAAGGAAATTTATTATCAATCACAACCCTTTTATACGACATTGCACAGGCAAGTTCGTATTTATATTAAAGTAATTTAAATAGATGATATTTTAGAATGTGTCTGGCAAAGGATTTTGGAGTAGCTATCCTCCAAGAAGTTCTAAAGAAATACAGGAAATTGAAGAGACAGCTGTGAAATTCTTCAATTTTTAAAAGTTACGATAAAATCTACAATCTGACATTTCACTTCAGAATTCATACTTTAAATATAAAAATAAAAAAATACGAATGTAAGTTTTCTGAAACTGTCTTCAAAGATAAAGTATACCTCATTGTATGTTTTAATAAAATGCTTTCGTAGAACAGAATTCTCCAAATTTCACGAAGATCTTATTATGCGACCCAGGTGTATGTCCCACTTGCAAGATAATCTACATATTTTACTTTCTTAAAATATCACTGGTGAACAATAAATAGTAGGGCCTTTCTACTTAAATAAGAAAGTCTGTAGAGATAAAGAAATAAAAGACACACACCTAAATGAGATTTCAATACAACATCTACTCCAAGGGTTTTTCATAACAACAAAGATTAGTTTATAAAACTTCACTAGATAAGTTTTCCATCAATCATGCTATAAATAAAGTGAAATAGAAAATTTCTCCTGATTGCTTTCATTATTATTTTTAATTTTCAATGCCTTTCTCGCAGGCCAAGTCTCTCTTGATTATTGAAGAGTGCACCCTCTCAGCTCATGACTAATGCTCTGCTACTTCAAACAAGCGGGAACCAGGCAAGGCTAAAATCATCTCTTGACACAGAAAACCCGCTCATCCCCAGATACTTTGCTTCTTAGGAAACATCAAGAGGCATTGGGACCTGGGATTTGTTTGTGGTCCCAGGAGTTTTCTAGCTCTGGGATTAGCTGAAAATCTAAAATGAGAGTGCAGGATTTCCTGAGTGATGTTCACTAGGAAATCTCATGAATAATTAACAAGTCAGATGAAAAGAAAAATATATATTTTTTAAAGATGGTGACTCTTCCTCTGGGTAGAAAACTCAGAAACCATTCCATTTTAGATTGCTTGATTCTTCATCATTCCTGAAGAAAAATATATATATCACTGGCATATCCTACATCTGATAAAAAAAATTGGAAAGACACATTTCTCGAAGCTATAAAAGATGCCCTCTGAAAAGCAGTTCACGTAAACCTTGTACTGCCTCTCCACTCTGCTCCCTCACGATGAATATATTTCTAATTCTCAAAATGTTGACAGCACACAAAGCTTAGGTATAATTTTTCTAACAAATTCAAAATGTATTAATTTCTCCACCAAAGTACCCACACCCTCGCTCTTCCTGTTGGCGTGGCCCTGGGGAACTGCAGGATTACGATCACTCTCCATCAACCTTGCTAAAAATAGTTCCTATTCTCACATTAAGAGAATAATTATAGACTATGTATTGATGCCCAGAAATATACAGACCAAAGCGAATGTTACAGGTTCATGTAGGCAACACTGAATTCATCTATTGGAGGGGAGGATCTATGATCCCCTCAAATCAAAATGAGCCTTTTTTTTTCCCATTTAATTTTTGTTATTAGCACTTGCATGCAAAACAAAGGTTAATTTAGTTCCTTTTTTACAAGGAAAGTAAAGAAATGTACGTACTGTAAGGGACGCACTCATACTGCACTTCCAGGTACTTGTAGGTTCCGGGACACGGGTCTGGAAAAACATCGGGACCAGCCACCACCGCACACTGGGTCCTGTTATTACATCTGAAGTCAAGAAAGGAAGAGGACCAGTAAGTTGGCACAAAGTTAAATCACGTTCGATGTGAACACTGGCTTTATTTCAGTTCCTGTTACGCAGATTTAAATAAAGGTTGAGTGGATGTAGGCTTTCCACGTATTAAGGAAATACCTATAGTATACGTAAAAAAACCTAAAACTATACATAAAACCATTCGGTTTATTCATATTAATTAATTTAATACTTAATTCAATATTTAAAAAACTATACATAAAACCAACCCATTTGGTTTGTTCATATTAATTAATTTAATACTTAGCTGAATGCAGCATGATTTTGAGTTAGAACTGATGTGGTGCTGAAGTAGCACCAACTGGTTCATAGAACATTGCCAAGGTCAAGACAAGTGAAAAAGACTATTTGGTAGGAAAGACACTCTCCTATTATAAAAAAAAATTTAAGAAATTATAACCACTCACTTTTATTAAATAGTTATGAAATAAATGTACTGATTATGAATGACATTCATTTTAAAGGCAGAGTAATGTGACACCAAAAAGCTTTAGCCAAGCCATAAAAATCAGTACATAGTATTAAATATTTTAAAGTTAAAATGCATATTTCAATTTATTTGATATCAATAAAATATTGCTAACCAAATAAGGAAAACCATCTTAAGAATTAATTGTACTTGTGTGCGTGTGTTTAACCACATGATAACAATAACCCCAGACATTATTGATCGCAAATACGATATCCTATAATTTAAAGTAAAAACTTTAAATTTCAAAAAAAAATAATAACCAAATACCACTACTAAAAGATAAATACAAACTTGGACATTTTTGTGGCAACTGGAATAAACAGAGCTGGACCAGTTTATTCATGGGGGGAAAAATACAGGTAATGTAATTAAAACTAATTCTGAAAAAAAGACACCCAAGTTCACAGCGCCCTCATTACTGTGACTTTTACCCAGAAACTTTCTAGATGTAACCATTTGTCCGTAAGTAGTTTGTTTTGTTTTTTTTCTATAGGAAGCCAGGGGTTTACACACCTGTTTTTAGCACTAAGGTTTTAGGAGGAGATACTCTAATTATCCCCTGTGTTTTCATGTTCTTGTTTATTCACTTTAGAATATAACAATGCCTCAGGGCTAGATTTTCCTGTTACTTTCTTAAAGAGCTGTTTCATTTTCTGATGTGAGTTCAGAATACTGGATAGGACGCTGGGAGAATAAGGAACACGCAAACCTGATTTTGCAAGAAATGCATTGTGTTGACCTGAGGCTATTACTTGTCAGGCTTAATGAGGATATTATTTATTCCTTACATTGAATTTGATTCATTAGTGAATGTCTTCAGCTGAAAAAATATATTCCCTGTTATCAGTGAGAGATTTATAAAAAGCAATACTCTATACTTATCCGGCAATCTAGTTCAACAGTTATCCTGGGGGTCAACGGGTGGTAAAGTTTTCCCATGTAGAAACAATGTCTGAGGCAGATGATCAGACACCTGTCTCGGCATGTTATATAAATGGGACCGTCTTCACACACATACTGCTAATACATGGCTTGATACGTTAACGACCTTATTTGGTTAAAATTATTACAAAGTAAGGTTATATTCTCTATGACAAAGAAAACTATATGGAGAATCTGTCCAAGTTACATGATACATTTTTAGCAATAAAGCAATATGGTTTTCACATCACATCCTGAAAAACCAAACTCAAACTCTACCTTGCATTTTAATAAAAAGGGCAGCAATATGAACTCATTAAGAAAATTATTCCTTCATTTGTTAAAGAAAAGTCACCAACGGTCAGGAAAGCATTCAAAGTAGAATGATGAAAAAAACAAAAGCACACATGATAAATTTATTAAAATTTAAATATTCTGTAATGCAACATTCTGATAATCCAGTTATCACATTTTATATATGTACACACACGTACACACTCACATATACACACAGATGTTCACACTCACATAACACACACTATACACTCACATATACACACAGATGTACACATTCACATACACACGTGTAACACACTCACATATACACACACATACACACTCACATATACACACAGATGTTCACACTCACACATACACACAGATGTACACACTCACATACACACACACGTACACACTCACATATACACACATACACACTCACATATACACACAGATGTTCACACTCACATATATACACACACACTCACATATACACACACGTACACACTCACATATACACACAGATGTACACACTCACATATACACACATGTTCACACTCACATATACACACAGATGTTCACACTCACATATACACACACAGATGTTCACACTCACATATACACACACATACACACTCACATATACACACAGATGTTCATCTTTCTCCCTTGGTCCACTTTATTCCCTATTACCAACCTTTCCCATTACTACAACTCTAATAACAAAATTCCTTTAGAAGTTGTGTCTGTTCTTATAATTTTTAGATAAAAAAGGCAATCATAACTCTTTTTATTTAAATAATCATTGTATGATATAAAGAAAACAGTCTATTCCTCATTCCTGTGTAGGGTATAAGGTCAAAATTTACAATTATGGAAGTATCTGTTACCCAGAAAGTTGCCTTGAGCCACATACACCTGAGCTGGCGGGTTCGAATTCAGCCCGGGGCCTGCCAAACAACTGCAACCAAAAACTAGCCGGGTGTTGTGGAAGGCGCCTGTAGCCCCAGCTACTTGGGAGGCTGAGGCAAGAGAATCGCTTAAGCCCGAGAGTTTGAGGTTGCTGTGACCTGTGACTCCACGGCACTCTACCGCGGGGGACATACTAAGACTCTGTCTCAAAATAAATAAATAAATACATAAATAAAATAAAATTTAAAAATAAAAATATGTCACATGATACTGCCAGATAAGATACGCATCTTCCCAATCACTGGATTAGAAACTGGAGACAGCACAGTTTACAGCTGACTTGTTCACTCCAACATGGCTCCTAGCAACGTAGGACCAAAAATAATTAAGCGTGACAATGAAATCGTCATCTCTGGGTAAACAGTTTCCTCATTTTGCAGAAAGCAAAAATGATATTGCTGGGTTTATGTGCTTACCAACTATTCAGAAAACGTATTATTAAGGGCAAAATAAGCAGCCTCTTATTTTCTTGCTCAATTCAATAAAACGCTGTTGCATTTACTAATATTTTCCAGAACAAATTAGCAGCCCATTATCTCATGTTTGATTACAACATACTAATGGGTGATGCGTAGAAAAATGAGTCAACAGTGGCAAACTGATGGTTTAAATACAACAATATTTATAAATATAACTATATTTTTAAAAAATACAGATAAAACAGACACATAAGGGCCGTGGTGGTTGATTCCACCATAACTAGTTATTAGATTATTAGATATTACTTATTAGAGTATTAGTGAATAACTAATAATCCAGCATGGTAGTAGTAGAAAAGTATGATTAAAACAAGTGAAATCTGCTTGTATTCATATACTGGGAGAGTAATTCACAGGGGTCCTCCATGAACAAGACTTCCAATCCCATATTCTTTGAACACTCTAAATTCAGTGACTACAAAGACACTATTCCTGGAAATGTTAAGGAAATTTTCCAATGGCACTTCAGCCATGGATTAAACTTCTCTGAAACGCACTGGTATTTTTAAAGACAGAATACAATGATATTTTAAAAAGCTGCCTTATGAGTGTCATTTTGTTAGCAAAATTACGAATTTACATTAGCACTCATTAAACCACTTTTAAGCCAAAGCATATGTGATAAAGAAACACACATCCTAGTCTATGCAAGACGTTCACACCATCCAACATATAACGTATGTTGATTCGCATAAGAATAAGGCATATTTTTTCTCTAACAGAAAATTATTTTAAATATATCTTGTAATGAAAAAGAAAGCCACTGTCATATCACATTAATGCTTAAAGTCTCAGGATGGTTTAGGTAAACAGGGTAACTGAGGTTTTTTCATCTCAGGATGAAATACAGCAAAAGAAGAAAACATAAATTAACACACAGATATTAACAGCATTTTGGTCAATGTCAAGAGAATGACTCCCTTTCTCCTCCTTACGAGAGTAACTTCCCCATTATCACGGGCTCTCACCCTGACACCCGGTGAAGTGGCATTCATTTGGACTTAGAAGACAAGGACAGATAAAACAATTTTTCTACCGGTTTAAAAAAAAAAAAAAAGGATGTGCAGGTCATAAAGGAACCATCTGGATTTCAAATGATAAGAGAATTAAAGGGGTGAAGAATAAAAAAGTTGATTATTTTTATGAAAAAGAAAAAAGTCACCCATTTTTAAGACTGCAGCTACACACCCAGGATTCATAAAGCAGTGCGTTGATGTCGTCCTCTTACAAATTTAAGTGGCGATGTAAGAAGAGTCACGGGAGTGATCAGTACTTCCATTTCAGAGAAGATTGGTTGCAAATGATGAATCCAAAGTATCGCAGGATCTTCCAGAGACCCTGTCCATGTACGTAAACAGAATCCTATGATTTACAAAATGATTCTCTTGCCCTGATTCTTTCTTTCTCTATATAATTCTTTAACGATGCCATGCCTTTACATTTTTTTTAGTTTTTAATTATTATGGCTACAGGATGGTTATACACATTTACAGGGGACGACGGATGTTTTGATATCGGCATACAATGTGGAAAGATTAAATCGGGGTAACTAGGGAATTTCACAAACTTTCCTGGACATTAGGGAAGTGTAATTTGACACAACCGAGTTAAAAAACACGACCAAAGTGAGGGGAACATATAAGAAATGGGATATCGTATTAGTTTTCTTGTTGCTTTTATATGAAATTGCCATAAACGTACAAGCTTTGAAAGAATGCACATTCATTCTCTTACAGTTTGGAGGTCAGACGTCCAAACTGAATTTTTCTGACATCAGTATGTTGGCAGGCTTGTTCCACAGGGAGGTTCTAGGGAGAATCTGTCCCTTTTT